GAGGAGAGGAGAGGAGAGGAGGCGGCATTTACTTTTTTTATTAAGACGGGGAAAAGGAATGGAAGAAAAGTTCCATCCACTTTTTTATAAAGATTTATGTAACCTTGAGTATCTCTGGCATCCTAACTTCCCCTGCTAGCTAGTATTATCTTACTGTAAATAAGTATTAGAATGACCGAGAAGCTGGTTTAGTTTTCTATTGTCTACTCAGTCGTGCAAACTGAGAATTAAAATAAAGACTCTTGTAGAGGGAGATCCCATTTTATCTGAACACAGATTTTGAGTGGTACCAGATCATTCATTCCATTAATGACCACATCTGTTATTCTTAGAAGTACTGTACATTAAAAGGAGGCATAATTTCTATAATCACCTACATCCAATTAAACCCAGTGAAAATAACATCATAATCACATCTTCTTTTTCCTCTCAGGACTTTGGGCAATGTAAGATTATCACATATACAAGCCAGCTGCTGAAGAAACCTCAACTATATGGATTTAACTGTACATTAAGTCCAGGTAAAATAACCACTGTTGTAAGCCAATGCATACCTCAAACCAGCCTTAGTACCAAATTACAAGTCTATGCACTACCAGTGTATGGTAACCGTAACAGATTCATTCATCTGCTTGCAATTCATATTTTAGATAATTCAAATGGAATGTTAAGAATGAGTAATAGAATTAAGGTTACCCTACCCTTCTAAAGCAGACTTTATTAATGACAGATGATATCACCATTCCAGTCCACCAAAACATAATAATGAATATCAGAAGAAAAGAAAACTTGGAAAGAATGCCCATTTGGGGTGGTAGGATTCTAAGGTGGAGCTGAAAGATTTATAAGAACATTCATTTTCACAGGTTTGGGGTTTTTTCACATTACAGGACAAATCTGTATTTGTGGAGTGAGGGATAGGTATTTCACTTCCAAGGAAATGCTTGCATTTCAGTTTCTCATTGTGAGTTCATATTAAAGGCACATGCACACTCCCAAGAGTATTAATATCTATTGCAATGTTAGTAAATTCTCTGCTTTCACAGTTCCTCCATTTATTAGAGTGCAAAGATTGTCCTGTGAAAGTTGAAGTCTTAGAAATCACCGAGCAACATAAGAATATTGCTGCCAAGGCTCTGGAGAAATTGAACAGTGAGGGTAAACACACAAACTACTTTGACATGGACAAAGTTTAAAAAATTTTAAAGATGGTAAGTGGCATTTTGTCCTTACTTATAAATGACAAAATTTTGTGAGCAGCTCCAAAACCATGGGACCAGAAATCAAACCCTTCTAGGATCAGAACTATTGCTTGTCATGGATTTCTCCCTAAATGCTTTGTCTTCACACTTTGCCATCTTTCGCTACAGTAATAGTTTACATTGTACCACTGGATTTTAACGGACTGAATAACACTTAGAAAATATGAATTATGATAAAAAAAATACCATAAAGTATGTGCATCCACTTTTAACCAATTTAGTTGAACTAGTGAAACTTGTGTGCACACACATGCTATGGACATCTTCAACACAGGCTTGAAACAAACTACTACTACAACTGGAAATTAAAATGAAACACCTCTTTATGGATTTTAATAGGATCACAAATGCCTTCTCCCATGTTCTTATGGAGTAATGCTTTCTCTATGAATAATGCCACTGACAACAGAGAAAGCAACAATCTCACAGTAACTGGCAGAATTTCATCCCAGGTTAACATCAGCACTGTAGTACTATGCGCTCCCATCACTGGAAAGGGCTGGTTGCCATCCAGTAGATCTCTCTATTTTCACAGGAGCAGCAGTTCAATTTAGGGAGACGACTCTAAGGACGCTACTTCCTAAAAACACAGGCTGTAAAAGTAACAGGTTCTATAACATACACATGCTAGACAAAGAAATAAAGCAACCATGCCTGGAACTCATACAGGTGTAAGGCAGGTAAGGTATAAATTACCTAATCTATTTTCCTTACTGAATACGTGTATATGTATGAATACTTGAACAGCATAGGTAATAAAAGCATGAGCTAGACAGGATTTTGACAACAATATGAAGTACGGTTGCTTTTAAAATTACAGGACTTTAAATACATCTAGCTACCACTTGTTTGATCTCTTGATTTCAGACGGCCTCCTGTGAAGGTCACGTTTTAGGATTCTCTATAAAAGAGACCAACTGCGCCAAATCCACACAACAAGCAGATCAGGCATTGGAATGTGATTTTCTGGATGACTGGCACGCTGTAAGTAAAGTCTTAGAATGAGAACTGGTACCATGGGTGGCACCGGGAAGATCTTCCCACAATATTTCCAAGTGTCTCCTATAAGCATGTACCCAAACTCAAAATTAAAAAACCAGCATGTCTAAGTCTAGATCCTAATTTTACAGCTGCTCCTTTCTATTCTATAAGGAGCCAATCTGAACTCTCAAATCTAAATGTAACTGGAGTCCGGCATATTACCAACCTAGAGCTGAGCTTTTCAGTTTGGATCTGGCTTTCACATTCAAATTGTGGCCATTCCCAAGTAAATCATTCACGCTATTTTCATAAAAAATTTTACGCTAACGCAAGTCATAGATCTTGAAAAAAATACATGTATTATGTCATCCCAGTGAGCCCAGGGTTACTTTTTTCCCCTCTGCTGCAGGGGAATGGAGAGTGGAAGAATTCAGGCTTGTCTGCAGATTACTATCAAAGTACTCTCCTCACCCCACCTTCCCATTACAATAATAGTCTACACCAAAGAAACAACTAGGCAAGATCATAATTTCAGAATAAATTATTCCCCAGAAATGAAACTGAAGGAATGAAATAAAAATATGGAAAAAATAAAACATGTAGAACTTTTGTTTTATCTACATCCATTTTCTTCTCTGGGTCTTTATACTCCAGAAGACTGGAAAAGGTTGTGAATGAACTGGTAGCAGAGCCAAAAGTTCACTAGAATGAAGCACGAGCCAGACAGCTAGACGTTTTGAATTGTGTTCTCAATGCTGTCACCACTCTGTGTGTGTGTGCGTGTGTGTGTGTGTGTAAAATGCTATTAACATTTGTAATCATTGATCATAATAGGCTACTAAATATACATCACGATAAAGCATCCACTACAGAGAGCATACACAGAACCCCTTACCCAAGTTCTGTGCTCCTTCACATGAGCAATTCCACATGCAACGACTGGACAGCAGGTCAAAGTCACAGCAAACAGGAGGCTAAGGGAAGTAATGCTAAAAGATTACAAAAAATTAGTTTTCAAAAAATAAATATGGAAGAAAGCTCTGCCTTGAACTTTGTCTGAAACAGCATAGCTACACATTGTCTGTTTTTGAGGACTTTGAGCAAAATTTCAGAATAGCCCAGTCTGAACAGATGTTTGACAAGCAAAGACATTAAAAAAGGAATAAAAATAAGTCACCCACAGGGTATTAATTTTGGAGTCAACAGTAGCTGACCAATTTTTTACAGACATCAAAAGAGAATTAAGATGGAGAGTAGTAGCCCTCCAGACGCGCACATGGCAAAGTGGTCTTCACAGTCAAGAACACTCAAAACTGGCATATATTTTAATCATTATTACTCACTGGCAAGTATCACTGTTCAGAAAGCTGAGGATCTAGCAAAGTTATGTAAACATACTTAGGTATTGAAAGAACTAGCCTAACTTTTAAAATGTTGAGCTTTCAGTAGCTTCTATTAACTCTATCACAAGAACACAGGTGTGCATTTTTTTTTCCCCCTTTTGCTTAGCATGTGGGATTCTGGAAGGCACAAATTATCAGTAATCCAGACGAACCTGATGGAACAGATATAAGCTGTGAAATCTACCATCCCTGGGTACGTACTCACTTACTGAAATGTCTCTGGCTATATCCTCATGCAGGCTACAGCAACCTCACTTAGTCCAGTCTGACAGATGATTGCAACGATGGTTTATGTCCCTTTACTACTGCCTGGGTGTGATGCAGCATGTCAGGACAGACTGGCTTTTGACTGCTAGGTCAATCAGAGGATGAATTAGAATTGAGCTGTCTCTACTTACTCCCTCCAAGGGTGTCTTCTCTCAGTCCAATCATATTCCTTAGTTAAAGCGAATAGAGATTGGCACACAAGCTCAAAGGAATTTTAGAAAGCAAGAAGAGGGGAGATGATCTTTATCATATTTGGTATTCCAGTTTATATTACAACAGCTACTCCAGTGTGGGTTTAATTTTGTTTTGATCCATCACAAATTTTTCTCAGTTGGTTATATAATTTCATTTTATTATGGTGTAGTATTTCCAGATGATTTTCAGTAATTTGGCATTTTATCATCTACTCCTTCTCTTCTATCTTGAAAAAAACCCCACAGTTTCTTTTTCCTTACAGATCATCAGAACTGTAAATGCAAACCTACTAACTCCCACCTCTCTCTCTCACCACTTGCTTCTGTCCTATTAACATCTCACTTAATATTTCTTCCCCTGGTGTTTTTACAAACAGCAGTATGACTATGGGCAAAGATGCAGATATTCAACTCTGGGACAGCCACAGAGATCCCCATCCCCATCATCATTTTGGTCACAGGCATCATCACAGGCATGGATATCCACCCGCTTCTCAATCCAGACCTGAAGACCCTGAGCATAACCATAGTTTCAATGAAGAACATCAAGACAGACATGAAGGACCTGCTCCTCCTTCTTCCCCCCACAGGGGACCACATCACCACCTTCACCCTGCACACCATTGTCCTCCACCTCCTCCCCACAGTGGACCACATCACCACCCTCCTCCCCATCAGGAATCATATCATCCCCCTTCCATTCCTCCTCCCCATGACGAACCACATCATCCTTCTTCTTCCCAAGAGGAATTACTTCATCTCCCATCTCCTCCTCCTCCCCTTCATGAACCACATAATCCTCCTCTTGGTCCCCATCATGGACCACACTGTCCTCCCCCTCCTCATGGACCATATCACCACCATCCTCCTCCCCATGATAGACCACATCACCCTCCTCCTCCAGGACACACTCTTCATCTCTATCATCACTATTACAGACATCACTGCAACAAGACAAGAATATTGGGAAAGTACTTTCCATTCCAAGTAACAGGAGCTGTCTATTGCATTCCAGTTCTAAATCAGCAGGATTCTCTCACATGTCCCAGTGCAAACTTTCTTGAGCTATCCCAAAGCAACCCTCAATCCTTCAGCACTGGTGAAGGTATTCCCTTCACTAGCTCAAGTCTAAAGGAGATGCCAGAAACTTTGGGTTTTCCAGATCACCCTACACAGTCAAAACCATGCCCAGGAACCCCCAAACTTGTTCTTCCAAAAATTTTGGCTTTATTTCCATGCAGCTCCATGGCAGAAAATTCTCTTACATGACCTCAGAGAAAGATGTTCCTGGCTTAATAGTTGCAGGGCCAATGACAGTTGTACAATGAAAACGGCACACGGAGAAGTGGAAAAAGCATACAATTTCTAGGGAGGAGAAGCACTGAAAACAATGATTTAGACAAGTTTTCCAACCTGCCTCTTGATCCCAGCTATCTCAGACTCCACTGTAACTGAAAGGCTCAAAATTCCAAGTCCCTCAGATAATGTGAATGGAGCAAACCTCCCCAGCAAACAGTGCTCCTTTAGTTCTAACAAAAAGGAAAATTCCCTAATAGTGAAAACTACCATCTAAAATCTTTCATTTTCTCATCATTCATAATTATAATGTACTTCTCTGAGGAAATCTGACCTAGAGGAAATTTGACCACTTTCCATAAAAAATTATCTGTGGCATTATATTCCTGCTTTATAAAGATTCAAAGAAAATAAAAATATGTAAGCATTTTTTTTTTCTTGGCACAGTTGCCAAAATCTTGTCTTTGTTATTACTATGGACGTTTAGCTGCACAGCAAACATCCATGAGGCATACCCTAGCATAAATTGACTAATGGTGGTTGGGTTACCACCATTACCTAGAAAAGGTCTGAGAATAGTTAATGACTTGTAGTGTAACACTGCAGTGTGGCCTGCACAGGTACTTCCATTGCTAGGGTTGCTGGTGGTGATATACCAGAAATACTGCATTCAAGAACAGCCCTTTTCAAATAGTTCATAATTGCTCTCAGGGGAGGAGAAAAGCAGATGCAGGTAATAACTCTTTCATGTAAATGTTTTCTTTATCACTGAACCTTCCTCACTGGAAACTGAGTTGGGAGGAGCAGGAAGAAAGAACACTGGTGTCTCTTTATACTTTAGCCCCCATCAAGGTAAAGCCCATTCAGACAGACCTGGGACCCCAATGAGTGAGTTAGTTCAGAACAGTTACCTCATAAGCAGGAACATGGGATTAATCTCAAAAAATTAGTAATTTCACCCTCAAAGTAGCTTTTTAATGGCATAAAGTAAAATATAGTGTGAGGGCTACATTGAAGAAAAAGAAACAAAATGGGGACAGCATTTTGTGTAACTGAGTGAAGGTTGTCTTTAAAAGTGCATTATCATGTATGAACAACCTTATTTCCGGCATAGTTTATCCACAAAGTCTCTAAAGTGCATTTTCTTTAACCAAAACCTGTAGCAAGACACAACTGGAACACTGGAGCTGAGGCAATCCCAAGGTGTTCACAGATTCGAAGCAAAGCCATTTGGTGCTCAACACTGGAGACAAGCACCAGTTGTCCCCAGCCAGCTCTAATTCTGGCTCTGCCAGACACAGGCAACATTACTTAATCCCTTGTTCTTGGGCATCGCTTTCTCTATCGGTAACGATAACAAAACATTATGAAGACTGACTAATCCATGGTCCAAAGGCAGTCTCCACATGGCAGCGAAGATGGACACTTCCAATAGTAGCGTGAAGGACAAGGTTTATCAAGTGTTGTGGAAGAGTTATGTGACATTCAATGATATGCATCTGTCCAAAGACTTTTTTCAAACACGTTCTGACTTCTCCGAACTATTGCAGTCTGAACACTAAACAGATCTATAAAGTTTACAGGATTGTTGTCCAGAACCAGAACTTCATTGCCAGTGTGACCTTCTTGGGTGTTTTATTTAAGCATCCTAAAATTCATTTTCAGTAGCAGCTTAGATGTTAAGAAAAGAAGCCAGAAAGCTACAAACATTCTGCTCTTTTGCTCAGGGGCCATCCTGCTTAGTCTAAACCTGTCCCCAGCTGCAGCCATTTAGCCTGTTATCTTGATGGCAGGTGGATAACCTTAGTGTCATTCTGGTGACCACACAAAGTTTATTTAGATAAACTCAGAAGTTTATTTGCAGTATAAACAGGGTATGATGAGAACCAACCAACCCCAGCAACCCACTCATTCTGTTTACTTAGCTATTGCTCCTGAAAAACAGAAGAGGTGACTAAAACCCTGTCAGGCATTCCTTTTCCATTTGGTTTTTGAAGAGCCTTCTAATTCAGGGGGCCTCTTTTGTCCAATTATGAAACCTTTCATTGTACTAGCACTCTGTTGTAGTTTTTTCTCCAGCAGAGCCACCCCTCTTCCATTTGAGTTTTTGGACTGTGATGACCTTGATGTCTTTAAAGCTGTCGACACAGCACTGAAGAAATACAATGGAGACAGAGCAACTGGTAATCAATTTGCTCTATACATGGTGATGGAAGCCAAGAGAACTGTAAGTAGACTTTGCAAAAAAAAAAAAAAAAAGACAACCTGTTGGAATTGTTTATGCACTTTGAATCAGATTATCTCCATCTCGTTCATAAGAGAGCAAGCATGACAGCAAAATGTCTTCCAAAAACATTTTAAAAAATCAAAGAAATTACTTGCACAGTAAGATACTTGTTACCATGACAAGCAGGGATGTATATTCTGTTCTTATCAACGGAACTATGTGTGCTGGTGAATCGCTTATTAATGCAAGGACTAAAGAATAGGAAATTTCTATCACTAACACAATTTGTCTTACTAGTCCACTCTGTTTTCTCCTTTCTCTGTTGGGAATTCTACCCCTTTCCATCATCAGTAAGGTTTTCAGATCAATGGCAAAAACACACTTACTAAAAAACCTGAATGTTATCTTGACTTGGGAAGAGTTGGTATCGCACATAAAAAAGAATGACCTGATAAAATTTGGCAATACTCTGAATAAATTGTTTGTGAGTATTATTTGATTGACACTAGTCCTGAGTCACAGATCTATCTAAAAACACTAGGTGGTATTTTAGTCAAATAGGGCGACAGCTAAAATTACAGAAGGAAAAAAGAATGAAACATGATCCTTTGCCTGGAGTCCTTCTGTATAGCCTTAATCTAACAAAAGAGTATTTACCTCTGAGAGGCATTCAAAGATGACATTACCATAATAATGACAAGCATTACTTTACTTGAAAACACCATTAGCATTTTTTTCTACTGGATTGGATTTTCAGATGTAAAACACAAGAAACCCAGCGTCGGAGAGAATATTTTGCACTCCAAAATCACAAGACACTTTTAGCCAGACAGAAATTGACCTCAGAAAGGGGACGTGAATTGCTAAACGCTCACAGGAAACTACTCACATCTCCTGGCACCTCCCCTCTGGTTTTCCTGATTTCAAACTGGGCAGATTTTAGCATGTAGTGACAAAGACTAAAATCTGGCAAACATTTTATACAATTAATATTAAACAAAGGAATTGTCCCACTGTCTTCACTGAACTACACGCATCCTTAACAACAGCCAAATGCAAACATCTTTATATCGGATCTGTAACACCATCTTCCTTTTGCTGATGTTCCCAAAGGACAGATACTAGTTTCAGTATTTTATCTTAAAGAATGTTCTATTTTTAATACATATTTATTGCAATTATTATTCATCTTTCCTTCTCTAGATATCCATCTTTCCTTTTCTTAAAAGATCTGAGGTAGAAATCAATTATTACTTTTAATCATTGATCTGACTATGATGTTAAGTAAAAAACAGAAAAGGAATCTGCAATAGAGATTTCCTCATATTCGATATTCTTTTTCTAAAAAGAGTATAGGTTTTCCTCATCAGTAGTCTCACAGTGTTGAATGCATTAATTAAATAGTTGGTTATTACATATTCATGTACATTCATTATTGATAAGGTAATAAAACATAAAAGCTGACTGGTGAAAGACTGAACCTGCCCCAGTTAAAAGCATAGCTGTTCATAATAATAATGAAATAATCTAAAAACAAATAACATACAGAAACAATACCTTTTCTCACTGAGCTGATTTATTGCAGATTTAGAACACTGTAACAGAGAACAGAATTTGGCTCTTTTTACGTCCACATCCCAGATAGTATAATCTGATGCAGCTCCATAAATGTCAATTTATACCTGCTGAGGATTAAGTCCATTATATTTTTACAGTCCCTTTCATCCCATTTTACAACCTGCAGCCATTATATCGGGTACCTCTATACCTCTTCATAGTTGTAGCAATACGCAACAGGAATTGAGAGAACACAGAATATAATTCTGTGTCTACACCAGCGTAAATCCAGTATATTCCACCCACGTCAGCTCAGCTTCACTTTCTTGGTACTACTAAGGCAAGAATTATCATTTAATTTTCCCAGCAGTATCATTTGAGGACAACCAGTGTTGAAGTACAGCAACTGTCTGTGTTTGTATTTGAAAAGGCACATTGGCACAGCACTTTTAGTGGCTGTAAAAGATTAGTAACTTCTGGCTTTGTATCTCCTCTAAAGGATGAACCCCAAACCTTGCAGTGTGTCAATGGTACCTGTACGCACAGGCTCACTATTCCGTTTATGGCAAGAAGAAAATAGCCCCTACTGATGTACCAACATCAGAAACACTTCCACTGGCGAGGCCAAACTTTGCTTAATAATTTCATCTTGTGTATTTCATCTTGTGGGATTCCTGAGGCTACCCTCATGAGCCGCTCAGCCTTTAATGCCTATAGGAAAACTGCAGGCACTGCCAAAGGCTGTCTCCAGAGCATATGCCCTCTTCGCCCCTTTCCCCCAAGTAGGCAGGGCAGCTTATGTACCCTGTTACCATAGAGTAAAGGCAGTTTGGGCACTGCCAGGCTGCCTGAGGGTTGCTGGCTGCTGTTTCTGGGCTGCCCGTAGAGTTGTACAGAAGGGAAGCAGACAGATCTGGGAGGAGGCCAAGAGCAAGAGTGAGGGAGTCAGACAGGAGCACAGTCCAAGCTGGTAATTATGCTAACTATCCAAGCAGCAACCCAAATTTGCTTATTTGGAGTACATTTGAATACGACTATAAAACCTAACCACTTATTTCTGTTTTTACAGCCCTTGGTTAAAGCCCTACAAGTTAAAATTAAGGTAGTTGAGCATACTGTATCTATTGTATCGACGTATTGTAATTGTAGGTAAGGGCTCAGTAATGTAATTAGATAAGTTAATTGTTGA